GCCTAGGTTTGAGAGATGCTGATTCCAGAGCTGGACATTATTATATAAGGCTGTGACACTACATTTTTCACAAGGCTGTGTGGTGCTGTGAATGCCAGCAGCCTCCTGAGATGTCTGCATCGCCATCCTGCTCTTCTGCTCTGCTATGCATTTGCACATGGTTTCCTGCCAACTTTCTCTTAAGAACCCACTCCCAAATCCTCTCTGCATTATGTTCCTTAGAGCACTGTTTTGCATAAGAGTCTATTTCTTGGAAAAGCTCAATAAGGGAAAAATAGAACAAAGGGGGCTCTGATAGTTTAAGCATAAGCTATGTGAGTATAACTGGCAAGGCAAGGCCGAGTAGAGCTCAGGGCTGGTGGGAGGGGTACATGCCTTTAGCCAAGGCCCAGGTTTTCAGCTTCCTTGATGATGGGCTAAGATCTTATATGAAGATGGCCCAAAGCCTATGAAGTCTGGAAAGATTTTTATGAATGAGTGGCATAGATCCTCTACTCTTGCCACTCATGTATGCCTTAGCACGAGCTCCCATTGCCTGCCTGGCCTGGAGACACTGTGGTGGTCTGGCTTCTTTCCTTTTACACACGAGACTGAAAGGACTCCCCATTAGTCTTCCCCCATCTTGGCTGACCCTTGAATTGTTCACAGGAGTGTCAGGGATGAAGGATAAGGGTTTTAAAATTTAATAATCTTCATATGACCAATAATCTGGGGGAACGTTTTCACTTGCTTCCTCTGCTTCTGCTGAATTCTGAGCCTGTAGACCACAGCTTGCAGGGAAACATGCAGAACATTTGGCTGTCATATCTTAAATCTCCCCCCCCACACTGTCTGTCCGCTGTGCGTTCGTCCATGTGTGTGTGTGGTGTGTGTGTGTGTGTGTGTGTGTGTGTGTGTGTGTGTGTGTGTGTTGGTAACCTTGTGCCCAATATGTGGGCCTGAATTTCTTGGGGACTGTGAGATGAACTGCTTTGCTTTGTGAAATCGAGGGTTTGGATCTCAATAAAGTCCCCTAGGGGAGTGACAAAGGGCTGGCGAGTAGAGGTCCATTGTTAAGGATGTCTGGGCTCTCAAGCTAGTGCCTGGGGGTACTGGACTGCTAAGTACTTGTGCTCAGAGTGATGTCTCACAAGTGACCAGTAGATGGTGCTCTGACAACAGGAAAATAAGGCTTTTGTGTCTCTGAGGCTGAGAAAGGGGTTTTCAAAGGTTTTAAAACTGATTTTCAGAGTTCTGATCAGCTGCCGATTTTCCACACTTCCATTTGTGGGTCTTTAAGGGAGTAGTAGAAACAGGGGAAAACATGATCACTAGATTTCCTTACAAGGATCATTATGGTGATGGTCAGACTGCTCTTGATGGTTCTGGAGCATTTAGACATGGATCAGATTCTTCTTGAGGGTAGGAGGCAGAACATTCCCGTAGGCTTAGCATCATTTCTTAGCATCTTTTCCTCTTGGTGATGTAGAGTTTGCAGTTCTGCAGCATGGTTATTAGGAATTGAAAATCAGATCCATTAGATGTTTACTCTCTGCCTCTTATGAAGTCTGAACCAGTACATTCATGTCTCTGAAGTTCTGCTGTTTTGTGGGTTAAATCAGCACCTGAATGCATGGTCTCCTAGGCTGATCTGAGAGGGTTGCAGTGATGGCCATTTGTAGGGCTTGTGTAAATTGAAAACTACATCAACCACTTACATGATTTAATCTTTAAAACTATATCCACCTGGCAAGTTTCAAAGTAGGGGAGTAGAGAATATGAAGCCAGTATAGAAACCCATAGATCTCAAAGCTCTCAAAAGCTGCAACACCCAGCTTTCCAAAGCTATTGATGCCATAATATTTTCCCTAGTCCTCTTGGACTGCTTCTCCGAGGCTTCCCATGAACTCCCTCACAGAGCCATTCCTGTTCCCAAGGGAACTCTCGGGCATTTATACAGCTTGCCCCTGCAGGAAAGCTGGACTCAGTCCCACTAGGTCCCCTCACTGCCATGTATACTGCCGTGCATATCCTGGGCCTCTAAAGAATTGCAGCAGCCACACAGAACTCAGGGTATGGTAGAAAAAGGAAACAGGATCAGTACTAGATCTCTGCTTGGTGAGTAAAGAGATGAGTCAGGGGTCCTTCATCATCCTCAGAAACACCGCTGGAGGGTAAAAGGCTACCATGCCATGTTTAACAGGTAGACTGGAAGGAAGGGATGGCCAGGAAGGAAAAAAAGGTGTGATGTCTCGACACAAAAGTGAGAGATTTTAGAGCAGAAGCTACGCAATCTCATTTACGTTCCGAAAGATGCATCGTTTATGTCATCGTCCATATGGCTCATTATTGAATCCCCAATGTCTAAAATAGTGTCTGTTGTGGGGAATGCATGTGAAAATATTTGTTAAACGAATGATTGGTATGGCTTCTGTGCTGTGGATTATGGGTCTCCTGGAAAGCAGGAAGTTTACACAGTCCTGAGACAGCCACTTGCGACTAGTTCTAGGTGACTGTCCAAAGGGACCTTACGGTCACCCCCCTTCACTTCTGCCTCCTATTAAGCTGTTCTGTGAAGTTAGATCACGGTAACAGGTGGAGCTGATACACATCCCATAGTAATTTGGTTTGCAATGGGCTCCCCTGAATCCCAGCGTCAGCATGCTGTTCCTTAGGGTAGTGGTACCTGCAAGGAGTGCCTGTCTTGAGACCATTTCTTCGGATTTCTTGTACACATGGACTGATAACATTCAACGCTCTCATACAACAGGCATGTGTCAGTGCTCACGTGGCCTTGCCCACACAGACACATACACATGCCTCACACTCGGACGTCAGTTAATTTCACACAGGGGTACTGCCTTTCAGTCCTGTGACACCACATTCACCCGCGGACTCCAGCATCTGGGCTTTGGTCAACCTTTGTGCTATGTCCTCATCCACTCGTTACCCTCACCTCTTCCATTGCTCACTTAGGGAAAACATTGGTACAACTATGTGTTGACACCAAAAGTGGGGATAAATCTAGCAGAGTATGCTCCAGCTAGTGTAGACAATGGGAGGTGACAGGGATAAACTGTCCGTGGGGTCTCCTGTGGGCAAAGACTAGGTTCCTAGACACAGAGCTTCTTTCCCTGGGGTTCAAAGCTTGCCTTTACTACCTCTGCAGCTCAGACACTCATTTTGTTCTGTTTTTTTTTCCTTCTGAATGGAGTAGATTTGAGAAAGTCAGTGGACCTTATTTGAAAGTAAAAGGTGATGGTGGGTGGGAGAATCCCTTTGTTAGGATTTTGATGGAAGTTTTGCTCAGGCTCGAAGTCTAGGGACTGGAATATCTGGACCACCTGCCAGGAAGTAAAGCACAGGGTTCTGCTAGAGTCCAGCCTAGAAGGTGGCCTTGTAAGGTCCCTTAGAATAGACAGGACAGAAGGTCCCAGAGAAGCAGAGGCCACAGGGGTCTGAGCTCCTCTATGGTGCCTACAGGATGTCAAGTGTGGGTTTAGGAGAGGGTACTTTCTTTGCCCTGGGTATCCCTGCTGTTGGTAGTGGAGCCTAGAGTGACTACAAGGTCCTGGTAAGGGGTGTACAAGGTCCCTACTCTCCACTAGAGCGGCAGCGAGCAGGACACTTTGCAAGGTATTGAAAGAGGCACCGCACTGGGTACCCTTCTCTGCCAGTACCAAGGACAGCGTTCCAGGACAGGTCCTTGATCTGTTGCAGAGATTCCGCAGGCACCACCAGCTGCAGCCCGCATCTCTTCTGCATCACTCGGAGGGGAACGGCAACTCATCCTTGGACCCTTGCCTAGTTAGCCTCTGGTCAAATGAATCCGTAAGCCAACCCGGCCTCATCACGTTGGACTCTCCGAGCCCCTCCCCCGCGTCCCTCTCGGATTCTTGGCCACCTTGCTGCGCTGCTGCGCTGTTGTGCTGTGTTCCTTTATCCTACCTTTAAACATCGACTCTGCCCCCTGTAGCCAGGCGGCCCGGGACGGGGGGAGCTGGTCTTTGGTGAAGAAGTTCGGTTCATGGATAAGTCCCGTGCCCTGCCAGCGCTAGCTAGGCTGACTGCAACCTGTTCCTCGCTGTGAGTGCTCGCCCGCCCGCTTGCCCGCCCGCTCGCTCGCTCGCGCTCCCGCCCTCTCCCCGGCGCAGCCGCGGATCGCTGTTGCATGCTGATCCTGGGAGGCGGCGGCGGCGGCAAGCGCTCTGGGCGGATGCTGGCACTTGGGCTTCGCCGCTCTCTGATTGCTGCTCAACTTCTACCCCAAACGCAGGAGCTGTGAAGTCATTTGCCCCTCTCCGGCTGGATCGACTTCTTACCTTCATTTCTCCGGCGTTGCGGTTTACGCAGGAACCTCAGTACCGCTCTCCCTCCCCCCTCCATCCCCCCTCTCCAACCTTTGGATGCGTCTCTGCTGGCAGATTTAAAGAGCCAAGTCTTTGGCTGTGGAATTTCTTAGATGGACTCGCAGGGGCTGGCGTTCTAAAGCATGTCACCGTAGCTGGCCCTCGTCTTTTTTTTTTTTTCTTTTCGTTTTTCTTTCAAAGTTCTTTTGTTTTCATTTCCTTCTTCCTCTCTACCCCTCACCCCAGCCAATAAATCAGCAAACTGTTACCTAGCAGGGCCGGTGCCTGCCTTTCTCTGAACCAGGTGGTGCGTGTGCCAGAAGAGGAGCTATGTCTGAGGAACATCCTACTCCACCTCTCTCCGGTCCCTGAACACCACCCTACGCTGGCATTTTGGGGAAAATATTGCCTCTAGAAGCTGAGCACCCCCAAGCCCTACCCCCTTCTTCTTCTTCTTCTTTTTTTTTTTCTTGAGGAATGGAGCTTCGCAGAGGTTGCCTTTAGAATCAACAGTTCAGAGCAGGGCTGAAGAGCTTGCAGGGGTCCCCAGAGGCGGTGGTCCCTGCGCCTGTGTGGATAAGGCTCTGAGTCTGGCTGTGTCTTGCCTGCCTCTTGTTGTGTGCGGGTGTTCGGCGATCACCTTTGTGTGTCTTCTGTCTGTTTAAACTTCAGGATGGCTCGCTTCGGGGAGGCGGTGGTCGTTGGCAGGCCGGGCTCAGGCGATGGAGACTCGGACCAGAGCAGGAACCGGCAAGGAACCCCGGTACCGGCCTCGGGGCCGGCAGCAGCCTACAAGCAGTCGAAAGCGCAGAGGGCGCGGACTATGGCTTTGTACAACCCCATTCCTGTCCGGCAGAACTGTTTCACGGTCAACAGATCCTTGTTCATCTTCGGAGAAGATAACATTGTCAGGAAATACGCCAAGAAGCTCATCGATTGGCCATATCCTTTCTTGCCCACCATGCCTCCCCTCTCTCCCTTTGCATTCCATCGGGTGAGGGGGGAAATACCTAGCATGGAATTTATCCCCCATCCCTTCTTGGTGCCCAAATTTGCCCCTTTGCTGAAGTGCACCCTACCTCGTTGCATCCAAGGGGCAAGCCTGGTACCCTGGAGACCTGTTTGGTCACTAGTGTTTTTCAAGGTAAGACCTTCGGGTTTTGGTTTATTTTCCGCGTGGAAATCTCTATCGCACCTAGGTGCCTGGTGTTGAGGTGTCTGCCCCTTTCTGGGTTGGGCTTTGTCTGTTTCTCGGCCACCCCCAAAGCCCCAATCATTTCAGAAGCTGCACTCCATGTGGATTGGTTTACCTCGAATCTCTGGGCTTTCTTTCATAATCATTTCCCTCTTTTCCTCCACTTCAGCCAGTCCCTCAGCCCCCATTCCTACCAGCTGGGAAGACACTGGCACTATCTGCCAGTAGGGAAGTTGAGGCTCTGGGAGGGGATTTATTAGTCCAGAAGCTCCAAAGAGCATGAGCCAAACCTGCGGATACAAGGAGACAAATGAATACTTATAAAACAGGCTTTGGGCTGGGGACTCAGTGAACTCTGAAGACTAAGTTTAAGTTCAATTGAAAGTGAGTGACTGTCAGGGGAGGTGATCACGTCATCACAGCCCATCATAGCTCAAAGTTGGAGTTCTCTTCTCAGGCAAGGAGGTGTGTTCACCTTTCCTTGGCCCTGGGTTGCTACTCTTGCTTCTTATTGCTTGACATACCGGGTGGTTCTCCCAGCACCCTGAACCAGGCAGATCTACTGGGCCTGAATTTATCAGCTGAGGGTCAGAGGTGTGCAAACAATCTCCCTCTAAAGCCAAGGGTATCCCTCTTCACCAAGAGTGGGTGGGTCATCTCGGGTGGTGGTGGATTCAGGGTGAAAGGCCATGGAAGAAGCTTCTTTGCAGGTTTTCCAAGTGCACTAAGTGCAGGCTGCTGATCAGGCACCTTCCTGCCTGCTCTGCACTAAGAATTTGCATGCCTGGCAAAGCCATTGGGAGTTGAGGGTGGGAGGGTGTTTCAGGGGATTAGAGGAGGCAAGCCAGTGATTGTGGGGGGTTGGCTTGGGGACAGGGACTTTGATGCTTGTGGAGGTACAATTCCTGGGAAGAATGCACCTGCAAAAGAGGCTCCTCCTCTTTCCCCCAAGCTCCCTCCTCCCCACTCTCCTTTCAGTGTGCAGTAGTGAGACAGCCGAAGGAAGCTGCGGTCTCAAGTATTAGTCTGCAAGGCAGCTTGCTTCCCCCAGGGCCCGGACATATCCCTGACCACCCCCCACCCCCCACCCCCAGTTTTTGGCCTTCTTTTTTTTCCACCCCAGTTTCCTGCTTCAGCAGCTTCGGGATTGGCTGGTGCATGGTGCTTCTAGGCAGCACCTCATTAGAAATGAAGAAGCATCTTTAGGCAGTGATGCTTCCTGCTGCTGTTCACATCCTCCCACAGTCACCCCCTGGCTGGGGTTTCTCCCTCTCTCCTCCTAGTTCTCTCGTTCTCACCTCCCCCTCCCTCCCACCCCCACAGAATGATCTGGGCCATAGAGTGCTTGGGTTGAACTATCTAGCTGGGGGCTTGGGGCGGGGGAGGGGTCTGGTCCCTGCAGTCATGCCTGCCAGTGAGCTGCACAAAGCGGACAGATTGCATTGTGTTGCATGCTGCGGCTGCAAATAACTCCTCTGAGCAGTACTCTACTGATCTCCCAGTGAAAGTCCCCTCCCTTGTCCGCCTTCTACAGTTCTTTCAGATTTCCCACCCACCAGGTGCCACTTTGCTGTGACCCTCTTAGGACATACCCCACCCCCAGATCCCCACCCCCTTCTCTGTTTGCTTGCAGTAGGTGAAGCAGCTTCTTTGACCCTCGCATGGCAAAGTGTGGCAGCAGCCAGCCATCCTTGGCACCTCGGACAGCGCCACCAAAACTCCCTTGCGGGTTCTAATCGCCCGATGCTGCTCATCGGGTACTTCCAGCTGGGCTCAAGCTCCCAGGCTGAGACACGAAGCACGTTCCCTACACCATGGCTTTGCTTCTTTGCCACGTTTTCTCTTCTGCTGCAAAGACACAGGTTTCCCCCACCAGGCGCTGTAAGAGCAAGGTGTTGCTGAGTTTTACAGCTCCCCTTTCCTTCTGTTTGGCCAAAATGAGGGACTCTGGAGGGAATGGATTCCACTGTCGTGTTCAGTGCCTTGGCCATACGTCCTGTCCCAGACATCTTTGCGATCCCCATACTTAGGCATTTTACAGTTCCACAGCCTGTAGGCTGTTGTAACCTGTTCTGAGAACATCTGTTAAGATGCTGAGAACCTGGTTGGATTTTTTTCCCCTTCTGGTTGTACAGTGTAACTGACAAATGTATTCGCTCCAGTGGTGACCACGTGGAAGCATTGCACCTCTGTGGGCTCTGCATTTTCTCCCAAGCTGCATCTAAGCTAGTCTCACCTTCCCTTGAGTTCTCAACATCCAGTTTCCTCAAATATCTGCTTCATCTTATAGAGAATCAATGTGAGGAGCAGTTACTCTTAAAGCTCTCTAATTAGGCTGCCAGGGTTCAAATCCCATCTCCTCCTGAAGCCCCATGACCTTGAAAAGTTACTTCATTACTCTGTCTCAATTTCCTTACCTGTAAAATCAGGGTGATAATAGTTCCTGGGAGAACTGAAGGAGTTAATGTGTCAAGTGCCTAGAACATTACCTAATTACCCAATAAGCATCCATTATTATTAATGAAATCCTTTGGGAATCTCTGCACACCTGCAAGGTGGGACTCTTAGTTCAAGGTGAAGTCATGTAGATTCTTGCATTTCTCTGAGATCAAGGAGCCTCATTTGTATCACTTGAGAGCTTGTACAAAATCCAGACTCCTGAGTCCCACTTCACAGCTGCTAAATCAGATCCCCAGGTGTTTAATGTGTTAGCAATTGACGGTGTCCCTGATTGTGGTAGTGACCAATTTAAGAAGTACTTTGTTCTTTGTAGGGGCCAGATTTTTACAACAGGAAAATTGTTCAGAAACGTTAAGACCTGCTTTGATACTGACATACAGTCACACACATATGGATTTTGATTGCTCTGCACTACACTTTGTGGGGGTTAATACTTTTTTTTTTCTTTTTGTTTGGTGACAGAAAGTCACTGTGGAACTAGGATGTTAAAGTGCTTTTCTCACATGTCAGATGTTTTAATTTTATTAATCTGAATGGATGAGCTAAGTAAAAGGCATGGTTTAATTTGTGCTTGTAGGACCCCTGGCTTAGGAGCAACTTATCTTGCTCTTAATAGGGGTTGCCTAGTTCTAATTTGAAGGAATGTCTACAATAACCCAGATTTGGCATGGAAGATGGTGGAAAGGCAACAGCCCACTCCGAATGCATTTCCTTTTTCTTAGAAGCTACATCTGCATAGGGAGATAATTTTATTTTCTCATGACACTCTCTTCCACAGATGATACCATAGCCTTTTTGAAAATGCTAATCTGATTTAAAATGTGATATCACATTTTATGGCATTCCGTTCTTTCTTGCTTGCTCATCTAGTAGATCTAACAAGAGCGTTCTTTCTTCCCAGGCATTGGCTATTCTGAAAGCTACCCACTGGTCTCTGTGCTACACACTGCTATTCTGCCTGTTCTTTGCTCAGGGACAGGTACCCTATGGGTAGAAGCTTGGGAACTCTCACATAGTTTGTGAGATAGCACACCCTCATTTCCACTTTTCCAGGTCAGAGGTGAAGGGAAGAAATGACATGTCTTACTTGGAGACCCTACATCATAGATACGCAGTAGGAGATGGTTTTCTCTTCACCTGTTTGGTCATCTCAGCAGGGAAGCACACATTTTATGTGGAAACAAACATACCTCAGAGTTGGAAGATCAAATATGTTTGCAGCCTTTGAGCTGATGAAGCTCATTATAGTGAACCTGTGACTGGGTGTGCATGATTTCTTGTGGAGAATTTCAGTGTTTCCTCAGAGCACTCTGGATATGGGTCTGAGGCTATGTGTGTATATCACAGATTTCTCCCTGTAAAGTGTTCAGTGAATTATAAATTTATTTGGAGGATTTTCTTGAGGATTATGGAAAGTGTAAACATTCTCATTTTGGCTTATACTCTTCTCTTCTGGTTGCCTCTAAATATATGTGCCTTGCAAGATAGTAAACTGCAGGCTTGATAAATTCAGGCTTGAAGTATCCCCAGTGGATCATGAGTCTTGGCTGAGGAGAGAGTGGGGATTAACAAGGATGAAATCTGTAATTAACTCCTGTGGTCATATGACACAGAGCCCCCATATTTTCCATTGACTTGTGCATAGATGCCATGGCTGTAGTTGGCACAAGGGATGAAGGATAAAGACCTTTGTTTTCTGGGGTTCCTAGAATAGAATAGTCTCTTGATTGCCTATTTGTTTTGTCTCTATATGAGGTATTGCTGTGAATGGAAAGTCCAAGAATCTAGTAGTTGCTCAGTCCCACGAGGTTGGGTGTCTCAGCTGGTCTTCTATATGTTGGAATCTCGAAGAAGTAGGTTCCAATGTCAGTGAAGAAATGGATGTGCTGCCAAGGCGAGGCCAGGCAGGCAAAGAGTGAAGCAACCCTTCCTTCTTCTATTGTCCTTATGTAGGCTTCCAGCAGGTGTGGTCCAGATTAAAGGTGTGCCTTCCCACCTCAAGATCTGGATCAAAAGCATGCCTTCCAGCCTCAAGATCTGGATCAAAGACAAGTTGTCTTCCTGCCTCAAGATCCAGATCATAAGTGTGCCGTCCTTTTCTAGATTGTAGTTCATTCCAGATATAGTCAAATTGACAACCAAGAATAGTGGCAGTTATGGGTCTTCTGGAAGCCTGGCCAAAAATGATAGTCAGAACCATTTGTAATTGGGATATAGCTTGGGAAGTGAGCTGGAATGAGAGAATTTGACAGGAATGAAATGCCTTGAGGATGAAGGCAAGAATATT